GCCTGCACGAGGAGATCTGGCTGCGCCGCCCACCTGGCTTCACTAGGTCGTTTCTTCCTGGTACCCAGTGAAGCCTCCGGCAGCCAGTCTACGCTCTGCGCCAGGCGCCCCATGAGTGGCACGACACACTGAGGACTACACTTGCGGCTCTTGGGTTTGCTCCTTCTACTGCCGACCCGTCGCTGTTTCTGCGCACCGACACCTCTTTGCCGCCATTCTACATCCTCGTGTACGTTGACGACTTGGTCTTTGCTACTGCTGACACTGTTGGACTTGCCCACGTGAAGTCTGAGCTGCAGAAGAGACACACGTGCACAGACGTGGGTGAACTGCGCAGCTACCTTGGCTTTTAGATCACCCGGGACAGAGCACAGCGCACCATTACCCTGACTCAGTCACACATGGTGCAGCAGGTCCTTCAGCGCTTCGAATTCACGTACTCCTCGCCTTAGGCCATTCCTCTGTCTACTCGCCACTCGCTCTCAGCTCTGCCTTCGGATGAGTCCGTAGAGCCGAGTGGCCCGTACCCAGAGCTTGTTGGCTGCCTCATGTACCTGATGACCTGCACTCGACCTGACCTTGCATACCCTCTAAGCATCTTGGCACGCTATGTTGCTCCTAGGAGACACCGACCAGAGCACATGGCTGCAGCGAAGAGGGTGTTGCGCTACTTGTGCAGTACGTCGGGCATGGGGCTAGTGCTTGGAGGGCGGCGTTTAGTGGTCCTCACAGGTCACGCAGACGCTTCTTGGGCTGACGACCAGGCTACGCAGCGGTCGTCACAGGGTTACACCTTCAGCCTTGGTTCCGGCTCTGTTTCGTGGCAGTCTACTCGCTCGTCTTCTGTTCTCGGCTCCAGCTGTGAGGCTGACATCTACGCGGGGGCCATGGCTGCACAGGAGCTACGCTGGCTCACCTACCTGCTGACTGACCTAGGAGAGCCGCCTCGTTCTCCTCTAGTTCTGTACGTAGACAACAAGGCCATGCTGGCCTTGTGTCGGGAGCACAGACTGGAGCACAGAACAAAGCACATTGCTCTTCGCTACTTCCTTGCTCGTGAGCTGCAGCAGCGTGGTCAGCTGCGCCTTGCCTACGTGGCCTCTCAGGCCAACACTGCTGATATCTTTACCAAGGCACTTCAGCCTTGTGATCATCAGCGCTTTTGTACAATGCTAGGTCTTGTGCCTACTTGGCCTCACTTGCTCACTTCTTGACCTTTCTTGTACTGTGATCTATCTATACCTGCACTTGCTTGTTTGCCTTTATATATGATCTTGCATTCGAACTGGCCTTGTGGCCTTGAACTTGTGCTCGGAATGTGTGGTGACGTTGTGATCCACCCTGAGCTTCCTGTGCTTTGCTTGACTGGTCTTGTGACCTCTTGTTCTCCCCCACTTTGCCTATGGGGGTGTGTCAAACTTATATGCTATAGTCTGTGTAGGCTGTAGTGGGGTAGACAATGTCAGAATGTTATTATCTAGCCTGTAGTGGGGTGCTCTATAGCGAGTACAACCCTGTTAGGGTTTGCTATATGTATCCCAACTGCTGCTAGTGAAACCTCTCCTTTTTTCATTTCTCTCTTGCCTAGCTAGCTAAACCCTAGCTATGGCTCCTAACTGTGCTTACTATTGTAACATGGCTTCAGAGCATTTACGCTCCTGGCTTGTGGGCCCACCTAACTGCTTCCGCTGCTACTCTGTGTGTTGCACGCCCCGTGGCATGCGACGGATTTTTCTTCCCGCCGCGCGCTCGGAGCGTGTGGCGGTTTTCTGCCTGCCGTGCGCCCCGAGGCGCGTGGCGGTTTTCTGCCCGCTGTGCGCCCAGGGGCGTGCGGCGGTTCTCTGCCCGCCGTGCGCCCCGAGGCGCGCGGCGGCTTTCTGCCCCGTCGGTCCGCGCGTCGCCCCCGGGGGGCGCTTCGACGGGCGACGGGGACCAGCCCGTCGTCCCCGGTCGCCCGTCCCGGCCAGTGCGGGCTGCGCTAGCCCCGAGCGCGGCCCGTACGGGCTGCGCCCGGCCCGCGCGCGGCCCGTATGGGCTGCGCCAGGCCCGCGCGCGGCCCGTACGGGCTGCGCCAGGCCCGCGCGCGGCTCGGGCCGCCTGCGCGTGGTTCGTCTGGCTGTGCCAGGCCCGTGGGCGGCCCGTTCTTCTCTGCCCCTGAGCTGCCCGCAGTCCCCCGTGCTTCTGAAGGCGCCCCACCCCTGCTTCTGCCCGTTCTCCTGCATTAGGGTTTGGGGGTGGGGGGTATGGGGGTGCAGTTTCTGTGCGCTGTTCCACTACTCCTCCTCCTCCTCCGTCTCCCGCTGCTGCAGCTGCCGCTCAGGGGGGTGGGTGTGTGGGAGCCGAAGGAGTGGTGCTAGGGGGGTGTCGTGGGAGTGGAGCTAGGGGTGCAGCAGGGGGTGTGTGATAGGGGCATGGGGCAGCTGGGGGAGGTTGAGTGGAGGCAACCGTCGTGTCGTCAGCAACGCCAGTAGTCCGGAGGCTACAATCACCGGTAGTCGCCAGTCGCCTGTGGGTCAGTTGCTCCTGTCAGGAGGCTACAATCTCCGCGGAGCCAGTTACTCATGTAGTCCGGGCCCTTGCTTCGGTAGCCACTGAGCTAGCAGCTCCTGTGTGTCTGCAGCGTCAGCAGTCGCCTCCCATCTTCTCGCCCCCACAGTCTCTCCTCCTCCTCACTTGCCCTCTGTGATAGCCTCTAGCTTTGCTTGCAATTGTGAACCTGCTCTATGACTGCGTGCTCTGCTGATTACACCCCACTTTGGCTATGGGGGTGTGTCAGAATGATATTATCTAGCCTGTAGTGGGGTGCTCTATAGCGAGTACAACCCTGTTAGGGTTTGCTATATGTATCCCAACTGCTGTTAGTGAAACCTCTCCTTTGTTCATTTCTCTCTTGCCTAGCTAGCTAAACCCTATCTATGGCTGCTCACTGTGCTTACTATTGTAACAAATAATATGGGGTACAACACTTTTAGGTTTTCCTACTTGTACCCACCTGTTTCCTAGTGCATTCACTTCCTCGTTATTCTCACAATACGCCCCCTTCACAAGGCAACCGGGAGGGGCTCAAACAGGCATCAATTGTAGTAAGAGCGTGGAAGATCCCTATGAACAAGGCATTGGTCGCGCAGTTGCGACAGTAACACAGGTTGCGACTCTCGCCATTAAACATCGTTAATAGAGCGACGAAAATTGCTAGAAGCACTCACGTTTCAGCGTACGTGCCCCCTTGTTGCCCCACGTTTTTGGGTCCACGAGGGGAAGACAAAGATTGGCGACGTAAGAAGAATCACGCGACATGAAATCAGTTGTTGTCGTGGGTGATGTGGTGCAATCCAATTTGCTCTGAGTGATTGACGATCTCATATTTCTTCGGTTGAGAGCGACCAAGGCCCCTTCCGAAACCTTAAAGCCTCTATGATTTGCAATGTGGGGTTTCATGTGTTACCCGGCGAAAGATGTCGCAAGCCATTGACGAAGCCAGATGTTCGACCACATGAGCAACCAAACACATGTTCGTAGGGATCTTCCACGCCCTACGGGTGTGTCAGATCCTTCATAACTTATTTTGGCTGGTTATTTGTCGACCATTTGGTCGTCAAATTGTTTTCGCGAACGTCGACGCATTGGTCGAATTTTGGTCGACAAATTACGGATGTGTTTGCAAATCTGACACGTTTGGTGGCTGATTTGCTGGCCGCTTATCAAATGTGTCAGATTTGTTGGCCGGACTGCTGCGACGGGGTCGCAGATTTCGTAGCGATACAAGTAGCGATGACAATTATTGGTTGCCGTAAATTTTTTACGTCGCAGGATTACTGTTGCATTGCCAAGTCGACATCTTGGCCGAATTCGAGTCGACTACATGTCGGATTTATGTCGACTTTTTGAAACGGCCATCAAATTTACAATAAGTGGCCGGATGATGCGAGCTCGTCTAAAATATTTGCGACTGTCGCTAACGTGTTACTTTCGCCAAAACCGGCCAGTCGGATAAGCCGATTTCGGATCTGACACACCCTAAGCTGCTGCCCTCCAAGTCGAACCCTATTTCCCGCCAACCACCGCATTCACGAGGCTGAGCATCAAACCAGAGAGCTTCGGTTCGGAGACCCGTTGGGAATGATTTTGCTTGCTGCTGCTGGTTCCCCCCTCAGCGGCATCTTGTCCTTCCATGTGTTGCTGCGCCTGAACCTAGCACATTTTGGTGCCTTCTGAAAACGTGTCCTTGACTTGAGTCCAACATCCCACCGCACTGCTGTCGCTAAGCAGATCAAACACCTTGCGTGCACGCCGTGGTTTCTAAAGTGGGGCTGCATAGTCCGCATGTCAACTTTTAGATCTGTCGTTCACAGAGGCTAGCTGTGCGCGCGGTTAAGAGCGAGCCAACAATATCCGTTGAAGGTTTTTGTGTCGAGTTTAGTGAAGAACTGCATCTGGTGAGTGCTGCTCTTGTCGGGTCTCCTTCCTCAGTATCATTTTTTTTCTTGGTGAAAGTTTGCTATGTAGAAGCAATGTCGAATGTTTTAATCAGTTTGCGGAGGTGTGTCCTGATTACCTTGTGTCCTGGTATCTGCACCGAAGTAGCCTTTTTTATTACGCGAACCTGCCAGTTTCCAGATTTTCTATATTCGTGCTAGAGGAGGTGATGCTGTTTAATTATTATCCTCACCTATTCATTTTCGCACACACTCACGCCGCCACCCTCTTCTCTCCCTCCCTCCCTCCCCACTCTTTCAAAAATGTCCGCACACTAGTCACTACCATTCCATCCTCCCCTGACTCCCCCGATTTATATTTTCACCGTTTCTCCTCTATCATGCATGCCCTATATGCTTATCTTCCTTTTCATCAGATTGACTCAGCTGTACTTATTACTGTTCTTCGATATGCGTTATCGCAATAATGTTCCTCATTATTGTTCCTTTCCCCTTTCGTCCCTTCATGATCTCACTAGAACTCCAGCCGTTGCCGTAGCCAGCGGACACGGTTGAGCAGCCCACATGGAGGGCGTGAAAAAGTTCACTGGCAGGGAGCTAGAGCAAGCAACCAATAAGTTCCACCGTGAAAACTCTCTCGGTAGAGGCGGCTTCGGCACAGGCTACAAGGGTCAAATCGATGGCCAACCAGTTCTTGTGATGAAGCTCAACCCGGACACTAGCCGGCAGGCAGGCGAGCGTTTTCTCCGCGAAGTGACAGTTCTTACACGCGCCGACCACCGCCACATTGTGAGGCTCATAGGCTACAATGCTGAGGCGCGCTGTATCGTGTACGAGGCACTCCCTGGCGGCAATCTCGAGGACAGGTTGGCGACTGAGGCTGGGCGCAAGTCTTTGAGGCAAAAAGACCGCCTCCGCATTGCAGCTGAGGTGGCGGAGGCGCTAGTGTTCCTGCACCGCCTGGACTACCCCATCCTGCACCAGGACGTGAAGCCCGCCAATGTTATGCTGGACGACGATCTCATTAGCAAACTCGGAGGAGTGGGTCTGGCGAAGTTCCTACCAGTCAATGACTCGTCGATTTGGGGCACTGTGGGATATATTGACCCCCTGCTACTGCGGACAGGCAAGTATGGCCCTCAGTCGGATGTCTATGGGCTTGGGTTGGTGGTGCTGCAGTTGTTGACGGGAGAGAAGGTGAACAAGGTGCTGGAATACGCCAAGTTCGGGCTGGAAGGAGTGCTGGAGCACCTTGACAAGGAAGTCACATGGAACGATAAGATCGTTCGTGATGTTGCTGAGCTGGCGTTGAGGTGCCGTGACAAGGCGAACCGGCCTGACCTGGAGTCGGTGGTGCTGCCAGCACTGCAGATCCTGGCCAAGGACACGGCCCTGGATCTGGATCAAGATGGGGCGCCGCCTCCCAGGCAAGCAGCAGGAGGCTCGGGTGCAAGGGGGGGAGGAGGGAGAGGAGGACATGCGGGAGGGAGAGGGGCAGGGCGTGGGGCAGGGGAGGATGCACACAAGGCGACACAGGCCAGCGCAGCAAAGAAGTCAACGTCCATGTTCAGCTTTTTATGGGGCAGTGGTCGCAAGTGATATGGGGTGTGCCACAATGGCGCTCTCGTGTGACTCTTTTCGAAGTAGGTTGATAGCAAATAGGGTAGTTGGGCAGAAGCTGGACAGCTTTGTTGCCAGCAGTAACTGTGTAATGGGGGCATTCAATGTGGCAAGCGGAATAAGTGTTTGCTGCTGAGTATGGATTGGTTGTTGGGCGTGGAGCCAGGCACATGGAACATTACCTTTGTTCGAGCGCCTCAGGTGATTTCTCTGGTCGTGGTTGGGGAGGAAAGCAGGTGGTGACGAGATAGGAAGGGTAAGTGAAGAGTGTTTTTTTACAAGTACTTTTACGGTACCATTCAGTATGGATGAAGTTACAACAAATAGCTGGAAATATGCAATGGAAAGATGAACTATAGTTGGAAATATTAAGTTACAAGTGAAATTCGTGTGCCCTCCCGCCATGTACTGGCAGAACGACATGATTCACACCTCGACAGCAGACAGACTTTGTTCGATGATCGCTGTGAGGAGTGACGAACGCAAAGCGCCAGACCAAAGAATAAAAAGCCCCTCACAGCTGATTGAGAAGGCCACTTCTGTGCAATTGCAGATCGCAGTCTCAAACATGGCGGATAGAGACGATAACGCAGCCGGCCAAGCACTTCACATTGACCGAACAGAAATGCTCAAGGTCATCGAACAGATGATTAGCTACTCGACGGAGTGTTCAGCTGACGCTGTATTGTGCTCGCGTGCTTGTCAGGAGATCTGTAATGCACTGAAAGAAGTCCAACCACTTTTCTTGGTTCTCAAGCACACTAACCTCACAGTAGCACAGGATAACAGCTTGGTGGAATCACTTTCTGAAATGGCTTGCTCATTGGCGGATGTGACTGTCTGCGTGGATTTGTGCCGCGATAGGCTATGGAAGTTTCACTTGCTTCAGCACTCGGATTCCTTCACGTCGCGACTTCAAGACGCAACGAAGAAAACGGGGGATGCATTATATGAATTTGCCAGCACAAGGATCAAGGTGAGCTGAAAGTCTAGCATGCAGCCGCGGAGGCATGTTCAAAGCGCGACACTAACTTGCTTCATGTAATACACAGATGGAACCGGGGTTTCCGGTGCACTTATTTTCGGACGTTCTCACAGCAGCTGCTAAAGCAGCTACGAAGCTCAAGAACGTCGACGTGAACCTTGATCCGAATGATGCTCGTTTGAAAGAAATGGTCAATACTGGTTGTGACGAAGTCGTGAGTGGTGCATCTGATCATGCCTTGGACATAATACTTCAAGGAAGGCATGGTTATTGGCGAAGTGTGCAAAGCATGAGCCAGCTCTCGCTTAATGATTCAAGCAATGGTCAGCAAACATCTCGTAGTCGTGAAGGAACGTCGTCTGGCAGGTAAGAAAGGTTGTCTTGACACACGCTCCCCATCTCGCTTGAGCTAATCATTACGTGAACGCAGACCGGCAAACGACGGAGAGATGCGCCTGGAGGCAACAAGAGCAATGCTTGAATCCATACGGACAACGCAAGACAGCAGTAACAGCTTCGCTCCATCCGTTCTCAGTCCTCGCTCATTTGCCGAAGTAGCATCGCCTACTGGAACTGCGGAACCCAGCTCATTGCCAGAAACGTCTGGTAAGTTTTGACGACTCCCGTTAAAATTCTAAATACAAAAAAAAGGGTAAACATTAACAAGTTGTTTTTCTCAGACTCCGCCAACATTATTTCTAAGGCTCTGGATGATGCGCCGGCTGAAAAGTCAGGGAAAGACACCGTTAGTTATGGCACACCAGATCGACCTTTTGGCACAAGAAGGTAAGACCTCATTTATGCTGTTCCACTTAATTCATGCTGACACACCTTAACACAATGTTCCTACAGGAGAAGGTCAAGCATGAACGATGAGCCACCTCCTGAGTTTCTATGTCCTATCACATGCGAACTGATGGCGGATCCAGTCATGGTTGTCACGGGACAAACTTATGAGAGGAGCTCCATCAGACAGTGGATAAGTGAGGGCCATCGTACATGCCCTATTACAAGTAAGTATCGAACACATCCCTTAGTTTCAGAGATTCTGCCAATGGAAGGAATGTGATCTGACTATGCTGTCGTTCTGCTTATTATGATGCCAGGGATGCCTCTTGGGAACATTGAGCTGGTGCCTAACTATGCACTAAGAAACGCCATTCGAGCTTGGGCACAAAAGCGGGGCATCGAGTTGAAGGAGCCTGAGTTCTTTCCGCCACCTCGCATAAGCGGAGCGCAATATAAGACAGCTAATAATGCCTCGGCACCATCACAGATCCCTACCTGGGACAATGCTCTGCCAGACAGGAGGAGCCCTCCCATGCTGGCTGTTACGCAGCTGTTCGTTGGCTCAACTGCTGACAAGGTCAATAGTGTTGTGCTGAAAAACTCCTGGTGTTAAGTTCTGTAGCTCATTGCTGCCATGTTGATTTTACAGGACGCAGCTGTTGCTCAGCTTGCAACAACTGCAAGTGAAGATGGGGAAAATGGGAGGGTTTCAGTTGTACAGGCTGGTGCAATCCCACCCCTCATCATGGTTCTGCTTGAAGGCTCTGATTTTGCCAAGGAAACGGCAGCAAGATGCATCCGCTTTCTTTCCAGGAGCAACAACCCGATCATTACACAAGGTTCTGCAGCAGCTATCCCAGCTTTGGTCCGACTACTTTCTGTGGTAAGTGTGGGCCTGTTTTGCACTGATGGGCACTAGTTCGTGGTACTTAACAACCTCCTTTTACTGCAGGGGTCTCAAGCTGCAAAGGAGGCCGCATGTGGCGCTCTTGTCAACCTTTCAGCCAAGACGGATGTCAACAAGTTCCAGATTGCAGTTGCTGGAGGAATACTTCCACTAGTTTCTCTTCTTGACTTCAACCAGCCAAATGCCTCAAGGACCTCGTATGAGTGCGCATCAGCAGCACTGTGCAATCTTGCTTTTGACAATGAGAACAGGCTGAAGATTGCTGCAGCCGGTGCCATCCCTTTGCTTGTCCAGGTATGATTAGAGGTTTATTTCGTTATTTCTGTACAGATTCCACTGAAGCTGTGTTATCGCAGGTTGCTGCAAGATCCCCGACCCCAGAAGCTGGAGAATATGCCACTCACGCCCTTGGAAGCTTGGCCTGTGAAATTAATGAGAATGGGGAGAAAATTGTTCAGGTAATCTGATAGTTTCCACTAGAGCTTTGACCTTCCGTATGATTGGCTAACGCTGAACTTCTGTGGCACAGGCTGGAGCTGTGCCAGTGCTGCTTGCAGCACTTCAGAACGGGTCTCCTTGGAGTAAAGAAGCAGCTGCACGGACACTTCGTAACTTATCATTCTTTGAGAACCTGCGAGAACCGTTGCTTTCAGCTGGAGCGATCGATGTTTTGACCCGAGTGACAGAATCGGGAACAGCCCGGGCAGCAGAGTCTGCGAGAGCCGCATTGAACCACCTGAGTAGAGCGACAAGGTCCACGCAATCTACCAGTGGCACACAAGAAATGCGCATAACGGCGTCTGCAGGAACAAGGGCAGCAGTACCTCCAGTAACCTCTGTTCCAGCCACAGCGAACTCGGTCAATGCCACCAGCCGGTTGCAAGTTTCAGCACGTCGAGTCGAGGCGAGTCGTCTTTTTGGCAGATCAAATGCTGCAAGAGTGCACCCAGAACCGGAACCTTCTAATGGAGGCACTGGCACATCTGGGCAAGGTAGCAGCAGTTCTAGAGGGGCAGCTCGGGTATTGACGAGGCCCGGTGCCAGTAGAGACAGTTCTTCTTGGAGATGATTATTACTACAGGTCTTCCTGTTCATTCGTAGTGCTGATGTTCCTATTGCCACTGCACTCTTTCCTGATTTGTGTGGGTACATTTTACAGAGCTCGATTTCTGTTTAGATGTGCAAGTTCAGTGTCGGTGTTTCCCAAGACCGTCCTATTTACCAGTACTCTACATGGCAGGGTGTTCCACGGTAAAATGAATGGTTACGTAACAGTCTGACACTCCCAGAATTTGTAGGACGGTCTAAAATTACATTATTAATGCCCTACTTCCTGATCCCTAGAGCCACAACAAAAGACCATCTCATCTCAGTAACATACTGACAGGTACATACCATGAATGTACCCTACACTTTTGTGTGGGTAGCAGCAAGCTACTGGAGAATGGAGAATGGAACTACATGTCTCCGATCTGTCCTAGAAACAGGCACTACACACTAGAAAGCCAGAGTAAGTTGCGTTTCCATTTTGTGAAGAACACTGCTTAAAAAAGGTGGAGCGAACGTTTCTTGGTATCCTGCTTCCACTTGGGCTGCTTGTAGAAAGCCTCCTTATCACATCCGAACGCTTGGAGGAAGTCTGCATCAGACAGATAAGCCTGCCACGCAAATCAGAACATTGGAAAAAGAAGTCAGATCAAGAGATTCTGACTGCCCAGGTGAGAGGCATGTCACTTGCTGCCAACAATCACAGAAGCCAATAGAGATTTGGGGCAATTTTACGGAACACCTCATCACACCTGCTCATTGCACATCACCCCAGCTCGTTGGGCATCACTCCTGCTCTTTACGCACCTCTCGCTTCTTGGTGTCGATGCCAGGAGCAGGGTCCGTGCTGTTGACTGTGAGCCTCTCCAGGGCGTACACGGCGCCCTCCACTGCTGCCTCAGTGCCCGCCGCATCCGAGGGCTCGTCTCCCTCGGGGATGGGGGCGGGCACGGGGGAGGAGGGCGTGACGGCAGCGGGACTGGCAGCAGGCTGTGGTTCGGGCGTGGAGGATGGTGAGCGAGCCGTGGCAGCGGGCGATTGCACCTTGGGGATGGAATATGCTGCTCCTCCACCACCTGATCACATGCGATAGGCAGACACACAGATAATAAATGTTGCTGCCTCCCATTTGGTGATCGCCTTGGGAGTATGATTAGCGACCGAGCTTGATGGGCATGTTGTCTAGGAAAAAAAAAGGAGGCGCTAAGTGGTGAGAATAACCCCACAACGACACATTGACATGACCTATTCAGCATACAGAGCAGAAACATTTCACCATAAGGAGGAAACGACACTCACTCTTCCTTTTCTCCGCAGTGAGAGTGCCCGACAGGGCAGCGATGGCAGCAGCGCGCTGAGAAGCAGCAGACATGGGCGCCGCGACCTCCTCAGCGGGAGCAGGTTCGGGCGTAGCGATGGGCGCAGGTGCGGCAGCAGCAGGAGAAGCAGCGGCAGGTTCAGGCTTGGTGGGCACCCCCCTAATGGAGCCCTTAAGGGCAGCCATTGCTGCTGCCATCTGAGAGGATGCTGAATCCTTGGCAGCGTGTGCAGCCGCAGCAGCAACAACCTCTGCTGGCGGGGCTGCTGCAACCGGCTCCGCATCTGCTGGTGCCGCAGCGGCACCGCCAGCAGCAGCGCCGGCAGCAGCGGCGGGGTGGGATGATGCAAGGCCAAGTGTTGCCAGCTTGCGCTTGGCAGCCTGAAGGAAATCCAGGCAGGTGAGGAGAAGGTAGCGATCGGAGGAGAAAATTGGGGATTTGCTGCGCAGAACAGGTACGCATGCTGTGGGGTCTGAGAGACATTTTGATGGACATATCAGAGCTTTCAACAGATCCAGCTGGCAGCTGACAGGCGTATGCGCATGAGCATCTCATTCCAATCAGCACAGTTGTCATACCGATGGGGAGAAGCCACAATGGTCCGCATCCAGCCAAGAGGGCACAGACTGCCATCAATGGTGTCCTCGTCTCCATGTCATGCAAACATCCATAGCCCCGCCAGATGCCATTACACCATCACACCACCACCATCAACACACAACAAATGCATCATGCCTCCACGCCCCAACGTCCCCCTGCCTCCCTGCGCCCATGCCCCCATGCCCCCACGCCCCCATGCCCCCATGCTCCCATGCCCCCATGCCCCATGCTCCCCATGCCCCACTCCTATGCCCCATCCCCCATGCCCCCCTGCTCCCATGCCCCACCCCCATGGCCCCACGCCCCCCGGTAGCAGCACTCACGTCAGAGAGCTCCACCTCGCGGCCCTGCAGGTGCGCCAGCTTGCGCTCGTGCGGGTCCACAAAGGCCTGGGGGGGGGTAGAAGGGGGGAGCAGGAAGCAGCAGCGGGCAGCAGGGGGCAGCAAGGGGGAGCAGAGGGCAGCAGGGGGAGTGGGATGGTGGTGTGGAAGGGGAGAGCGACACGTGAATGGAATGGGCATGAGGGGTTGCGTAATATCATGCATGTAACCACTCATGCATGTAACCACTCATGCATGTAACCACTCATGCATGTAACCACTCATGCATGTAACCACTCATGCATGTACCCACTCATGCATGTACCCACTCGTGCATGTAACCACTCATGCATGTAACCACTCATGCATGTAACCACCGGTGGGCTTCCAGTGGAAGCAGTAAATGAGCATGCCCATACCATCATGCATACGGATCAGTGCAAGCATCCCATGACCCACACACACCCCATCGCCTATGTCATGCACCAACGCACACCCCATCGCCTATGTCATGCACCAACGCACACCCCATCGCCTATGTCATGCACCAACGCACACCCCATCGCCTATGTCATGCACCAACGCACACCCCATCGCCTATGTCATGCACCAACGCACACCCCATCGCCTATGTCATGCACCAACGCACACCCCATCGCCTATGTCATGCACCAACGCACACCCCATCGCCTATGTCATGCACCAACGCACACCCCATCGCCTATGTCATGCACCAACGCACACCCCATCGCCTATGTCATGCACCAACGCACACCCCATCGCCTATGTCATGCACCAACGCACACCCCATCGCCTATGTCATGCACCAACGCACACCCCATCGCCTATGTCATGCACCAACGCACACCCCATCGCCTATGTCATGCACCAACGCACACCCCATCGCCTATGTCATGCACCAACGCACACCCCATCGCCTATGTCATGCACCAACGCACACCCCATCGCCTATGTCATGCACCAACGCACACCCCATCGCCTATGTCATGCACCAACGCACACCCCATCGCCTATGTCATGCACCAACGCACACCCCATCGCCTATGTCATGCACCAACGCACACCCCATCGCCTATGTCATGCACCAACGCACACCCCATCGCCTATGTCATGCACCAACGCACACCCCATCGCCTATGTCATGCACCAACGCACACCCCATCGCCTATGTCATGCACCAACGCACACCCCATCGCCTATGTCATGCACCAACGCACACCCCAGAGCCTCAACACACTCCACCAAGACGCATAACGAGTAGCAGGCGGAAATGGGCTTGATGGGAGCACACTGTCAAGCATCTAGTGGTCTGCAACGCATGCATGGCATTGCATTGCATCCCATGGGATGGGCCATGAGTGGCAGGCGGCACGCACAGCGGTCTTGGTGGGGTCCCAATGGAAGTGGGTGGTGAACATGGGCGGCTCAAAGCCCTCCACCACGCGGATGATCGTCACCTCCTTGGACCGCCCCTCACTACCTGCCACTTGCTCCACGTACCGCTGCCAGAGGGGAGAAGAGTGCCGGGAAGGGGGAGGCAGAAGGGGTGCATGGAAGGAGTTAGCCTGAGTGCTGCTGTGACGTGCCCTCGCTGCCCGCCATCTGCTCCACATACCGCTGCCAGATGGGGGGAGGGATTGCGGGGGAGCAGAAGGGGTGCATGAGAGGGATTAGCTTGAGTGCTGCTGTGACATGCCCTCGCTCCCCTGTGACAGCACACAGCACAGAAATCGTAACACGCAGCAAGCAGCACCCACCTCACAGCATAGCGCACACACCGTACAGAACCGGCACGCACCTGCGCGTACTCAAAGGCGTCCTTCTTGTCCTTGTCGGGCAGGTTGACGCCCACCCACACAAACACCTCGCTGTGCGTGTCCAGCAGCATCACATCCTCGCTTATCAAATCCTCCTGCTCGTAGTTGGGCACCTCCACCACCTGCAATCCCCGCACGGCAGAAGCGGTAATGGGATGGGAGGGGAGGGGAGGGGAGGGGAGGGGAGGGGAGGGGAGGGGAGGGGAGGGGAGGGGAGGTGAGGGGAGGGGAGGGAAGGGGAGGGGAGAGGAGGGTAGGGGAGCGGAGGTAGAAGGCTTATAACATGCACTATTGCACACACATGTGCACATGTATGCATGCATGCAATTGAAGGTTGGGGATGGGGGCGCAGGCACATTAGAGGGGGACTTGCAGACAGACTCATCGCCCGCGGGGCTACTTCTGCTCGTGGATGGATTGTAGCGGAAGAGGAGCTTACCTTGGCAGCGGCTGTGGCGGAAGAGGAGCTTACCTTGGCAGCGGCTGTGGCGGAAGAGGAGCTTACCTTGGCAGCGGCTGTGGCGGAAGAGGAGCTTACCTTGGCAGCGGCTGTGGCGGAAGAGGAGCTTACCTTGGCAGCGGCTGTGGCGGAAGAGGAGCTTACCTTGGCAGCGGCTGTGGCGGAAGAGGAGCTTACCTTGGCAGCGGCTGTGGCGGAAGAGGAGCTTACCTTGGCAGCGGCTGTGGCGGAAGAGGAGCTTACCTTGGCAGCGGCTGTGGCGGAAGAGGAGCTTACCTTGGCAGCGGCTGTGGCGGAAGAGGAGCTTACCTTGGCAGCGGCTGTGGCGGAAGAGGAGCTTACCTTATCAGCGGCTGTGGCGGAAGAGGAGCTTACCTTGGCAGCGGCTGTGGCGGAAGAGGAGCTTACCTTGGCAGCGGCTGTGGCGGAAGAGGAGCTTACCTTGGCAGCGGCTGTGGCGGAAGAGGAGCTTACCTTGGCAGCGGCTGTGGCGGAAGAGGAGCTTACCTTGGCAGCGGCTGTGGCGGTGGACGTGGCGAGAAGCATTGATGCCATGTTGCATATAGCACATGGCATACACACGGCACAAGCACACACATGGCCCATGGTACATAGGACACACACGCACGTGGCACATTGCACATTCACACACACAAACACACACACGTGGAAGTGGAAGGGTTTAGGTGGGTGGGAAACAAAGATGCATGCGGAATGTTGAAGGCCTATGGGATGGAGGCCAGGAAGAGGGACAGAAGGAGAGGAGAAAGGAGATGCCGGAGAGGGGAATGCAGAGAGGAGCGAATAGGAAAGAGTCAACAAGGGAGGAGAGAAGCGGGGGCTGGAAAAGGGAGGAGAGAGGAGGGGGATGGGAGGGGTGCAAGGGTGGAAGGGACGGCAAGCGGTTCAAGAAGATGGAGTCATCCAAATGACCTTCAGAAATTTCTCAAAATTGGCTTCAGTCAGCACTCTCAATCCTCTTCCCCATCATCCATGTCGCCCATTCTCCCTTCATGCATCCCCTTCTCACTGTGACCCCAATACCTGCACGAGCTCCCAACCGTGCAGGTTTCCCACCCTTCCCTTCTCACCGCGCCAGACTAGCCTGCGGCGCCTCAATGTTCTACGCACAAAACCTCGCTATAGCCACGCGGATCGCCTCGCTCTAGTCACGCGGACCGCCTCGCTTTAGTCACCTGCAGTGCCAGTGTAGTGGAAGAGGCGCGCATCCCGCTGCGCCTCCCTCTGCTCACGCTGGGCGGGGTAGTCCCCCTTGGCGCCCAGATGCCCCCAGAACACTGATGTCTCCTTCCCCTCCGCCAGCTGCTTCAGTGCTACCCCGGGCTGTGAGGGGCATGGGGGAAAGAGGGTATGAGGGGAGGAGGGATGGAGAAGGGCGCCGGGAAGGCTGGGGCAGGAAAGAATGATCCAACGGGAGTGGCTGACTTGTTGGATTTGTCAGTGTGGCGAGGACGCCCACCTTCGCAAATCCCGGATGGCAATGGAGTATTGGCAGACGCACGTGGGAAGGTGGTGCACAACGTGAATTCCTCCGGAACACGCAGACTTGCAAAGGCAGAGCCACCTTCACAGAAAGGTGACACCTTCACACGCATGGCAGGACCTTCACATGCATGGCAGCACCTTCACACGCATGGCAGCACCTTCACACACACGGGTCTACTGTCCCAGGCATGGCGGGTGTACCTTGAAGATTTCAGCAGCGGTGGTGGCGGCGGCCTTGTCGGCCTCGGTGCTGTTCTTGCCCACCCACAGGAAGGGGTTGGCGGGGGTCTGCAGCAGCATGCACTCCGATGAGTTGAGCGACCGCGGCACCTGCCATGCGTGGTGTGGTGTAGGCGTGGTGAACCATGGAAACACACGTGTAGGAACACACAGGTGGAAAAGCATGCATGGTGACTCGTGCACACACACACCCGCACACATGCTCACAGGCACACCCGCACACACACACATACATGGACATGGGGGCATACACACATGCACATCACACATCAATGGAGTTGCTAAGTCAATAAGATTCCCACTCAAATTTATCCTCCAGAATAGACACCAAGCAGACAAACAAAGAGATAAACCACTAGTGAGGGTCAGAAACGGTGACCACCACGTCGGAACTTGTGGTCACTACTGTGATGAATATGATGTACCATGTTAGCTTTGACCATGACTTCAGGAACGACACAACCCACACACATGGTGGTAGAAAGTCCTGAAGTCAGTGGAAGAGCAGGTGGAAGAGCAGGTGGAAGAACAGGTTGGAGCAGCGTGTGGAGCGCAGTGAGAGTGCTCGACCCCCCCTGCTTGCCCTGGCGCTCTCACCGTGTCCATTTGAACGGCCAGGATGAGCCCGTTGTCGCGCGCCCTCACTCGGAAGAGAGCGATGCCCGCCGCGTCATACGCCTCTGCTGCCTTGCCCTGCCGTGCACCGGGGAGGGGGGGGGAGGGAAAGGGGAGACAACCCCAGGGATGGGGCGAGAGGGGTGCAGGTGTGGGGAGAGAGGAGCAAAAAGGGGGGGGGAGGGGGAGGATGGAGAGGGGGAGAGGAAACGAGGATGGGGTAAGTGGAAGGAGAGGCAATGTGCCGTGACATGGAGAGGGTGAGGGACGGAGGTGGTGAGAGGAAAGAAGGATGAGAGAGGAGGGGATGGGCGGGCGACGGGGCGGAGGAGCAAGTTCAGGGTGATTGATAACAAGGCAACACTCAGCAGCAAAGACACGAGGACACGAGTAAATGATTGAGGCCGCGTGCCAACACACCGCAAGCCAACACACCGCAAGCCAACACAAAGAGCGCTGGGAGGCATTGGGAGAGAAAGGAAAGCAAGGGCAGCGCACCTTGAGGAAGAGCAGCGCACCTTGAGGAAGAGCAGCGCACCTTGAGGAAGAGCAGCGCACCTTGAGGAAGAGCAGCGCACCTTGAGGAAGAGCAGCGCACCTTGAGGAAGAGCAGCGCACCTTGAGGAAGAGCAGCGCACCTTGAGGAAGAGCAGCGCACCTTGAGGAAGAGCAGCGCACCTTGAGGAAGAGCAGCGCACCTTGAGGAAGAGCAGCGCACCTTGAGGAAGAGCAGCGCACCTTGAGGAAGAGCAGGTGGTTCTTGAAGAGCGAGAGGAACTGCTCTGGCTCCCTGCCCTGCACCACCCTCACCTGCGCCACACAGAGGACCGGGCAGACGGTGGGGCGTAGAGTGGGGAGTAGGGTGGGGCATAGGGGAGAGAGGAAAAGAAAGAGGGGGCACGCTGACAAACGCAATTGTTGGTGCAGAGCCCACAGCGCGGCGTGCATGATTCCACTGTGCAACTGGGCACTGTGCGACTGGGCACTGTGCGACTGGGCACTGTGCGACTGGGCACTGTGCGACTGGGCACCGTGCGACTGGGCACCGTGCGACTGGGCACCGTGCGACTGGGCACCGTGCGACTGGGCACCGTGCGACTGGGCTCTGTGCGACTGGGCACCGTGCGACTGGGCACCGTGCGACTGGGCACTGTGCGACTGGGCACCGTGCGACTGGGCACCGTGCGACTGGGCACCGTGCGACTGGGCACCGTGCGACTGGGCACCGTGCGACTGGGCACCGTGCGACTGGGCACCGTGCGACTGGGCACCGTGCGACTGGGCACCGTGCGACTGGGCACCGTGCGACTGGGCACCGTGCGACTGGGCACCGTGCGACTGGGCACCGTGCGACTGGGCACCGTGCGACTGGGCACCGTGCGACTGGGCACCGTGCGACTGGGCTCCGTGCGACTGGGCTCCGTGCGACTGGGCACCGTGCGACTGGGCACCGTGCGACTGGGCACCGTGCGACTGGGCACCGTGCGACTGGGCACCGTGCGACTGGGCACCGTGCGACTGGGCACCGTGCGACTGGGCTCCGTGCGACTGGGCTCCGTGCGACTGGGCACCGTGCGACTGGGCACCGTGCGACTGGGCACCGTGCGACTGGGCACCGTGCGACTGGGCACCGTGCGACTGGGCACCGTGCGACTGGGCACCGTGCGACTGGGCACCGTGCGACTGGGCACCGTGCGACTGGGCACCGTGCGACTGGGCACCGTGCGACTGGGCTCCGTGCGACTGGGCTCCGTGCGACTGGGCTCCGTGCGACTGGGCACCGTGCGACTGGGCACCGTGCGACTGGGCACCGTGCGACTGGGCTCCGTGCGACTGGGCACCGTGCGACTGGGCACCGTGCGACTGGGCACCGTGCGACTGGGCACCGTGCGACTGGGCACCGTGCGACTGGGCACCGTGCGACTGGGCACCGTGCGACTGGGCACCGTGCGACTGGGCACCGTGCGACTGGGCACCGTGCGACTGGGCACCGTGCGACTGGGCACCGTGCGACTGGGCACCGTGCGACTGGGCACCGTGCGACTGGGCTCCGTGCGACTGGGCTCCGTGCGACTGGGCACCGTGCGACTGGGCACCGTGCGACTGGGCACCGTGCGACTGGGCACCGTGCGACTGGGCACCGTGCGACTGGGCACCGTGCGACTGGGCACCGTGCGACTGGGCACCGTGCGACTGGGCACCGTGCGACTGGGCACCGTGCGACTGGGCACCGTGCGACTGGGCTCCGTGCGACTGGGCTCCGTGCGACTGGGCACCGTGCGACTGGGCACCGTGCGACTGGGCACCGTGCGACTGGGCACCGTGCCCGTGCGACTGGGCACCGTGCGACTGGGCACCGTGCGACTGGGCACCGTGCGACTGGGCACCGTGCGACTGGGCACCGTGCGACTGGGCACCGTGCGACTGGGCACCGTGCAACTGGGCACCGTGTGACTGGGCACCGTGCGACTGGGCACCGTGCGACTGGGCACCGTGCGACTGGGCACCGTGCGACTGGGCACCGTGCGACTGGGCACCGTGCGACTGGGCACCGTGCGACTGGGCACCGTGCGACTGGGCACTGTGCGACTGGGCACTGTGCGACTGGGCACCGTGCGACTGGGCACCGTGCGACTGGGCACCGTGCGACTGGGCACCGTGCGACTGGGCACCGTGCGACTGGGCTCCGTGCGACTGGGCACCGTGCGACTGGGCACCGTGCGACTGGGCACTGTGCGACTGGGCACTGTGCGACTGGGCACTGCGACTGGGCACTGTGCGACTGGGCACTGTGCGACTGGGCACTGTGCGACTGGGCACTGTGCGACTGGGCACTGTGCGACTGGGCACTGTGACCGTTGACGGACAGGGCCAAGTGCGGCGGGCAGCATGAGGGAGGGAGCGGGGCGGGAGCATGAGGGAGCGGGGTGGGCAGGGGCGCTCACCAGAGTGACGTTGCCTCTGAGCCCATCCATGGTCCGCACCGCCAGCGCCGTGGCCGCCGTGCGATCCGCCTGGTGGGGGGGAGGGAGTGGGCAGAGAGAGTGGGGGGAGAGAGTGGGGGGGGAGGGCAAGGGGGGGGGGGAGGAGTGAGGGAGGAGTGGGAGGGGGAGAGTGAGGGGAGAGCAATGGGGGGAGAGAGTGCGATGGTAGCAGAGGGAGAAGACAGACGGTGTGAGCGTGAAGCGATGGGGGTGATTGGGGTGTTAATGACCGATAGTTGGCCTTGCTGCGTGGTTTGGCTAAGACAAAAGCACATGCTCGTGACGGGCATGCACAGCACAGGCAGGGCGCAGCAGCCAGACTGCGAGCAAGGGGCGATGGTTGGAGTGCAGTGCAGCAAGGGCGTGGCCCTGGCGACAGGTCTTATCTCCATGCTCCCCAATGGGGAGGACGGTGACAGGCGCGCAGAGCAGAGCGAAGCAGGGGGGTGGCTTACAGCGGAGGTGTCCTTGCCCAGCCAGAGAAAGAGCAGGTACTCGTGCTTGCGGTCGCGGATGGACGTGTGCTGCACCAGGTAGCTCTCTCCCGCGTGAAACTTGCCCACCTCCTCCGCCGCCACCGCCGCCTTGGTGCTCCCCGCCACCCTCCACGCCTGTTGGTGCAGGCGCGGAGGCAGGGCGGAGAGGACGAGGGGAGGCGGGAGGAGGAGAGGAGGAGAGGAAGAGCAGGCGGGGAGGCGAGCGGAAGGGAGAAGGGGAGAAGGGGACGAGGGGAGTATGTGAGGCGGGGAGGAAGGGAAGCCGGGAGGTGGGGAGAAGCGAAGGAGGGGAGGAGGGGGGGCGTGGAGGAGGAGAGGTGGGGAAGAGGGAAGGAGAGGAGGACAGTAACAGGGGAGGAGAAGAGGGGAAAAAAGGAGGCGATGGAGGGAGGAGGAGCGCAAGGTAATAAGTGGGGGAGTGAGGACAGAGGGGAGGAAAAAGGGGGGGGGTGGTGAGGCTAGGAGAATAGGGGAGAAGGGGGGAAAGCACAGTGGGAGAGAACGAGGTAGGGGAGGAAGAATATGGTTGCACAGGGCGATGGGAGTGGAAATGAAGGGGTGGGAGGTGGAAGGGGAGGACAGAATGGGGGGAAGGGTGGAAGACCAGCAGTTCTACTTGAGCAGCAACAGGAGAAGTGTCAATGGTATTGTGGCGCATGCAACACAATGCATCCCCCGAACACCCCCCCTCCACCCCCCCGCCCTCTCCCCCCCTCGCCCCCAATGTGCTAAACCCCTTCTCGCCCGCACCTTGAGGTCGCCTGGCGTCTCTGCCAGAGGCGGGTGCTCGTCACTGCCGCCTGCTGCACCCTTGGGGGCCGCCTTGTCCACCACACCGCTCTGCTTCAGCATTGCTGCAAGGGGGGCCCGGGCGGAGGGTGGGCGTGAGGAAGGTGATGGGGGGGGGGTGGAGGAAGAAGGTTAAGGGAACCCATCCACTATCCCCGTACTGCACTCGCCACCACCCTGCCACCCCTCACTTCACTCTCTCACCCATGTCACCCTGTCTAGCCTTCAGCCCATGCCCCCCACCCATCCCCCCCAACCACAACCGCGCTTACCCTCCCTGGCACATTCCATACCTCTGCCTGCCTGTCTCTTCCCATTCCCTTCATCTCATTCTCCACCGGCACGCCACTCTCTCCCTACGTCCCCTTCCCACCAGCATACCCGCCCCTCTCGCCCAACCCTAGCCGCCCCTCTCGCCCAATCCACACTTGCCTTGCCCCGCTCGCTCTCAACCCAAGCCCCTACCTTTGAGCTTGTTGCCGCCCTCCCCGCCGCCCAGCACGGGCACGACGGGCCAATCGGAGAAGCAGGCCTTGAAGGCGGTCAGCTCGAAGCGCTCGGGCATGCGCACCACTCGCACGGAGGGGGGCTTCTTGCCCACCACCAGCTGCGTCTGATGGGCGCCCGCAGGGAGGCGTGGGGGTGGGGGAGTCGGGGCGAGGAGATGGCATGATGAGAGGAGGTGACGAAGGGGAAGTAGGAATTAGGAAGGGAAAAGTGGGGAGAGAGAGGTGGGGAGATGGGAGGTAGGAGGGATAGGGGTTTGTCGAGCAGCAGTGGGAGTTTTGGTTCACACACACATGGTGCGGGATGAGTTGCTGTTTTGGTCACACACACACATGCATGCAAACATGCACGCACACACACTCAATCGCTTACTCATTCCATTCTTCCCTCTCCCTGGCTTCATACCCTTACCCTCCCTTCAGCTTTCCCCACCCTCCACTCTCTACTCTGTGCTTGACCTTCTATACCCCGCCTTGACCTTCTATATCCCGCCTTGACCTTCTATACCCCGCCCTCCCCCTACTATCCCTGTCCTCCCACTTTTTCCGTCCTTCACGCTCTGTCCCCTGTCCTCCCCCCTTGGCCTCTCTCCCCTCCCCCTCCCTCGCCCTCCCTGCCCCTCCCTGCCCCTCCCTGCCCCTCCCTGCCCCTCCCTGCCCCTCCCTGCCCCTCCTGGCCCTCCCCCTCCATGCCTCTCCATCCCCTCCCCCTCTCCCCTCCCCCCACCTCCCCCTCACTCCCACCGCACACGGGCGAGCAGGGGCAGGGAAGGGGCGCACCTCAGCGGCGATGCAGGCGGCGCGGCGCTCGTCGAGGGAGGAGATGCGGCCGAACCAGACGAAGACGGTGGGGCCCATGTCCACCAGGTAGCACTTGTTGCCCTCCAGCTGCAGCTTCTTCAGCGCGCCCGCCCCCACCTCCTGCAGCCCGTCGCCCGACACCCTGTGCGCGCACAGGGGGAGGGGGAGGGGAGTGGGCGGAGAGGAGCGGACGAGGAGGGGGGAAGCAAAGAGGTGAGGTGCGGTTTGGCAAGGGGACAGGGTGGGGATTGGCAAGGGGACAGGGTGGGGATTGGCAAGGGGACAGGGTGGGGATTGGCAAGGAGAAGAGGGGGCGAGCGGTGGAATGGAGGGGTTGGGTTGGGGAAACGGGAAGCAGTGAAGAATGTAGAGTGCCTGAAGAAAAGCGCGTAAGGCTGAGGGAGTTGATCTGGACAGGGATCGATGTGGCACAAGTGCAAGCGTGGTGGTGCCATGCAAGGGGCGTGCACGCAGGGGCCATGCATAGACGCAGGTGTGCGAGGGGGCACGGTGAAGAGCACCCTGTGGAGCACAGCCGCAGCACACAGCACAGCGCAGCGCAGCAGCGCACGGGCGAGCGGGGCGATTGCGGGCGCATGTGCTGCCAGTGGCGCGGTGGGCAGTGCGGCATGAGTGCTGCAATGCCTAACAGCACAGCCGAGACACGGGCGCTCTGACCCGTGGCGGAGGAGGCGGAGTGGGGTTTGAGCAGTGGCGGGGAAGGGGAGAGGTGGGCGTGGTGGGGGGGAGGTGGAGCGCACTGACCAGTAGAGCGTGGGCGGCGTGGGCTTGACCTCGACGTCGTCCTCGCCCTGGCTCTTCTTGGCGATGGGCGCGAAGCCCCCAAACATGTCCCAAAACTCGTTCGACTCCGGATCGTCCAGCTTGCCGTCGTCTGATGGCGCGTGGAGAGGGGGAGAGGGAGAGGGAGAGAGAGAGGGAGAGGGAGAGGAGCGGGAGGGAGAGGGGAGTGAGAGGAAGGGGGTTGAGGATGGGGAGGAGAGGGAGAAAGGAGGTGGAAAAGCGCGGGGGAGAGGACAGGGGAGTGGAGGCGGGGATAGAAGGGGAGAGGGGAGGGGAGAGGAGGGAATAGGGGAGGTGGGAAGAGGAGGGGAGAAAACGGAGGGAAGGCGAGTGGAGAGAGAAGAGAGGCGGAACGAGAGAGACGAGCAGGGGAGGGGAGAGGTGCGACGGGAGGGTAGAGGGGGAGATGAAAGGAGCCGACGGATGAGAGACGGAAAGCACGGATGAGAGAGAAGGGTCAGAGGTTAACGGGATGATGGGGACAGAAAGGAATGACATGATAGGGAAGGGTAACGATTAGTGCACCCTTACGGGTCGCCCTCAGGTGGTCTGTTGCAGTTTCCTTCTCCATTTTTTCAATGTAATAAATCGCGGTTTTGTGTAACACCATTAGTCTGCAATCCGCAAATAATGTTCAGGTCTGCAACCCTGATAGTTGAGGGCAGGGCGTGAGGGCAGCACTGACCGATGATGGCGATGGGGGCCTTGCCGCCATACACGGAGTCCTGCAGCAGCTGCATGACCTCCATGCCCTTGACGCGCTCCTGCTTGCTGGCGTTGGCGCCCGTGAACTGGAACAGCTTGCTGCGCGTGTCCAGCACGAATATCTCCGAGTGCGACAGCGACGACCGCGCCACCGCCACCTGCACAGCGCATGCAGGGCGCCCAGGGGCGAGGGGTGAGCGGCGCGGAGCGAGGGGAGAGGGGCGAGGGGCGAGGGGCGCGAGACCCGGGGCGAGGGGCGCCGGGCGCCGGGCGCGGGGCGAGGGGTGAGGGACGAGGGGCGAGGAACGATGAGCGAGGGACGAGGGGCGATGGGTGAAGGTTGGACAAGAGGAGAGGCGAGGGTTGAGGGGTGAGGGTTGAAGAAGAGAAGGGACGAGGGCGTGTGGACGGAAAGGGAAAGGCGGAAAGTGGGGATGCAAGTTGGGGCTGTGAATACCTCGGCACGGCCCCACCTCTCCACCCTCTTGCGTCCATGCGTCAGGAAGGCGCAAAGGTCCCCATTCTCTCCCCATCGTACAGCCTGCCATTTCCGTGCCCTGCCGCGAACCTACTCTGCTGCTGAGCCTCCTAGTCCGAACCTTCGCCGCCAGAAGCGGACATCTAGGTGCGTCGCACGCACAGCACGAGTCTGAATAACTTTCTTGCTCCCTCAGCGATCATGTCCACCACACCTTACCTGTCTGACGTGGATGAATCGGCGGCCCTTGACTTGCAGCAGGCGCGGCTGGGACGCCTCGGGGTCGGGTTTCCCCCAGGAGCCGGGCGTGGCGATGATGCAGGGGCGGAAGTAGGAGAGCAGCAGGTCCGACTCGTGGCCCTGCGTCTCGCGGTACTGCGCCGCCTTGCCGCCCAGCGCCGCGTCCAGATCCACCGTCTTGATCGCCGCCATCGCCGCGTCGTCCTGCGTGCGGGGGATGGCGCGCGGGAGAGAGCGGGGGGGCGCGGGGATTGGGGGAGGGACGGGAAGTGTGGCGGAAGAGGGGAAGGGGAGGACAGTTTTTAGGCAACCGGCGTGGCGTCCACCTCCACCGGCTTTATCGGCGCCATCGCCGCGTCAGATTCGGGCGGAAAGGGATGTAAGCGGACGATAAAAATGCCGCGGATTATGGTGGGGAGACGAGAGTGGCAACGCAAGGCGATGTAGTTCAGGGCGAAAGGGGGTATCGGGTGGTTCGAAAGGCTCCATTCGTGGAGTTGCTCGGGTGTAGGGCTCTGATCTGACAGGCGCCTTCTGTGCCGATTTGGAAATGCGCTACAGTTCGCGACGAAAGTAATCTGTTGTTAAGCATCACAAGCACAATATAAGTAGCAGCAAATCAAGAGAATGACGTCCGCATTGCACGACACGAATGGGAGACGGGCTGAGCAGACTCCGGTGGTGCTGAGCGCATGGGCCCAAGAGCCAAACCGCGCCGTCTCTGGTTTACAATAGCACGCTGTTGAGCGAGGAAGGGGAAGCGAGAAGATTTGCGGTCAAGAGGGTTCTTCAGGCGACGCAGGCTCACCTGAGTCGTCGACTTCCCCAGCCAGTAGTGAATGGCGTATGTGACCGCGCCGCCGTGCTTCGATCCAGACGTCTGTGCAACGGGAGACGGAAAACATCCAGATGTGATGAACGCGATAACGAGGTGACAAGGAAAAGCCGTCTCGCAAGCAATAATGACAGCTGAAGGCAAATACAAACGAATCAGGCACGTCCTACGTTCGCTCGTTCGTCATCGATTCACAAAGTTTTCCAGACCCGTGTTCTGTGGCTGTCTGTGCCGTTCCTTAACTTCGATGGTGTTACTGTCTTGAGCTTCGTCTAACATCGGGATCTGTCGCGCGGCTTTTCGCACCATGGGCACAATATACTTTAGAGACGCGTTAAAACTCGCCTCACCTTGAGCACGATGTACGCGTCCTTGGTGAAGAACTTGCCATGGTCGGCCTTGGGAACCGCTACCACTTGACCTTGATCCAGACGCCACACGTCCAGCCCTCTGCGCCGCCACGCAAACACCAGGCAAGGGTGAGCAATGCTTGCAATGGATGCGACATATCGCTTCTCTCTTGTTTCTTTCCAAAGAAGCCATACTGCAATTCAAAGCAATGACATTGTGGTGAAGTTGATTAATTTAGGTAAAGGAAGCTTACGGTTTGTTGCTAAGTCCCTGGAACGCGGGGTCGAGGTCTTTGACGGAGATCGACATGGCAGCTGTTGGCAGGGCACACGTATCTCGCTGCCAGGCAGGCGACAAATGGTAAGTAACTCGCAGCTGGTAGGACAATCTTGACTAGGCTTCTACCACCAAGTTTCCTAGCCTACTAGCCACAAGCAATTTTTATGAAATGCTTGATATCACTCAAATGTCTGGATGGACTATTTGCAGAAAAGAGAGATGAGGATGGCAAGGGGGGAGGGGGGGAGTGTAGATTGGGACCAGCAGGAGCAAAGCACTGCACTGCATGGCCCGGTACAGTAGTCGGGGAAAAGAGACACAGTTGTTGGGAGACGGGAGACGATTGGCGTTGGTTTGTTGCTTGCTTGCGCCACACCAACACGCTCTCTGTGCTCGCTGCCCGTCCACGAACCAGCCAACCAGACGCAAGAGAGGCGCAAGTTAGGGGACAATGTGGGGCTGCCCGCACGAAAGCACCAAACCACCCTTGATGACCAACCAGGGCAAGAAGTTTTCCAGTTTGATGCACGGCGCGCTACGGAGGAAAGGGGCAGAGTTTGGGCGGGATATGCAGGGTGCTCTCTGACACGGTGGGTGTGGGATGGTGAGGTGGAACTCACAGAAGGTTCTACAAATGAAAGTGGGATGCCCACGAATCAGAAGCCGCAAATACTAGAGCAACCTGTTACAAGCGGATAATTATAACTGAAGGAATTCTAGGTTCCTTAACTAGTTTACCCTACAATGCTTACTATAACTCACTTTCGGAATACCATAATCCCCCGGATATAAGGGCACATTCCAACCTCGTGTCAGACACGAAGTGGAGGTTCGGAAGACCCAAATTGGCCCACTTTGGGTCTTCCGAACATTGATTTGCCAGAGTTTCAGGTCACTTCGGGTCTTCCAAAACTTCACTTCGTTTCTGACCTCATATCAGGCACAAGCCAAGAATGTATCCTAATACCCTAGGGTCTTATGTTATTCCCCTTGTAAATAAATGGGGGAAGGGGGGGAGAGGGGGGGGGGGAGGGGGGAGTTGGTTTTAACAAAGTGTAAGAAAAATTCATTTTCCTTACTTCGCGTCCCTCCTCAGCGCGTACACCACTGTTCCCGCCAACAGCACCCAACAGTAATCCGTTACCACTCGCGACAGTCGCCTCGATACTGTTCCCGCCACTGTTCACGACGCGACCCAACCTTACGGTTCGGTTGGTAACCCGCGCTCCGGACCTCCGCCTCGACATTTTCCCAACTTCGGCGCTAGGCCCGTCGCGCACCCCATTTTCCACACAAGCGAGTGTTTCCACTCGGACTTTCCTGTCCTGCGCTTGCACTCTACAGAGGTGGTGAGTTCTCCTCCGACCTCTTGGCAGCCTACTGTGCTGAGCACGGCATTGAGCAATCCTTCACGCTTCTGGCCTCTCCACAGCAGAATGGGATTGTGGAGCGCCGCATTGGCCTGGTCATGGAGGTCGCCCGTACCTCCTTGATCCATGCGGCTGCCCCCCACTTTCTGTGGCCGTTTGCGGTCTGGTACGCTGCGCATCAGCTCAACCTCTGGCCCCGTGTCTCCTTGCCGGAGACCTCGCCCACACTGCTGTGGACGGGGGAGGTTGGCGATGCGTCGCGTTTCCGGGTCTGGGGATCTCGAGCTTTTGTCCGCGATACGTCTGCGGACAAGCTCTCCTCCCGTGCTGTTCCCTGCGTCTTCCTCGGCTTTGTCCCAGACGCGCCTGGGTGGCAGTTTTACCACGCCACCTCGCGCCGGGTCTTGCCCTCTCAGGACGTCACTTTTGACGAGTCCGTCGCCTAATACCGCCTCTTCCCCTACCGCACTGCCCAGCTCCCCCCCCCCCCGCCTCTCTTCCTCGCGCCAGGTGCTGCTGTGGTAGACCCCCTCCCCCCTCAGGGTGCCGCTCCCTCAGGTGTGTCCCAGGTAGACCCGGTTGAGCCTGTTGAGGTAGCTGTTGACTCTCGTCCTGCTGTGGGTGCGGAGCATGGGGGTGCGGAGCCAGGGGGTGCGGAGCCTGGGGGTGCGGAGTCTGGGGGTGCTGAGCCTGGGGGTGCTGAGCCGCAGAGTCCGGAGTCTGGGGGTTCTGAGTCTGGAGGTGCTGAGCCTGGGAGTCCTACACCTGGAGGAGCCCTCTCCTCGGTGCAGCTTCGTGAGTGGTACTTACAGTACTGCAGCCTCAGGAGAGGTACCTCTGGAGCCAGGCGTACTACTGGGACTGGTGCTAGTGCTTCTCCTCCTACTCAGGAGCTCCCCTCCCGTGAGCGGATCCGTGAGTGGTACGAGCAGCGCTGCACGCTTCGGAGTGGCGCGCCTGGTGTCGCGGACCCCGCTGCTGCTGGTGGTGCTGCTGGTGCTGGAGACTCTGCTGGTGCTGCGGACCCGGGCGTTGGAGCTACGGCTGGTGCTGAAGTCCCGGGCGCTGGTGCTGCTGCTGGTGCTGATGATCCGGGCGTTGGAGCTGCTGCTGGTGCTGAGGACCCGGGCGTTGGAGCTGCTGCTGGTGCTGAGGACCCGAGCGTTGGAGCTGCTGCTGGTGCTGAGGACCCGGGCGTTGGAGCCCCTGCTTGTGCTGCGGACCCGGGCATTGGAGCTGCTGCTTGTGCTGCGGACCCTGGCGCTGGTGCTACTCTGGTGCTGTGGAGTCGGGCGTTGGAGCTGCTGCTGGTGCTGAGGACCCGGGAGTTGGAGCTGCTGCTGGTGCTGAGGACCCTGGCGCTGGTGTCTCTGCTAGTTCTGGAGTCGCTCCTCGGCAGCGGCCGTACTTCGTTCCGCTCCTTCAGCAGGTTCTTGGTCAGCTCCCTCCTCCTTGTCCTCCTCCCTCCTTAGGGTGCCCTCAGTCTGTCCAGCTGCAGTCGCAGCTACCGTCTGCCTCCTCTCTCCCTAGTCCTGCTCCTTACACTGGTCCGACTGGAGGTCTTACTGAGCGTCGTGAGCCTGAGTCTCAACCTGCGTCGCCTGAGTCTCGCCGTGCGTCGCCTATCCGTGCTGCTCTCACTGGTAGTCGTGTCCCTCGTCAGCGTCTTCCTGCTGTCCCAGGCACTCACCGATTGGCGCTTCGTCCTTCCACTGCTCCACAGCGTGTCCCACTACCGTCTCCTCCTGCGTCCTCTCTTCCTGCTGTTGCTGACCCGGGGTCAGACTCCCTTCGTGTTGCCACTCCTACTGTCACGCGTCTCCTGGCTACTATTGTCACCGACCCTTCCTTAAAGTCCGCTGCTGCGTCTGCCTTAGTTGCTGAGCTTGTCGAATTTGCTGCCACCTGTCGTCTAGACTACGCCGCTAGCCTAGTTGCTGAGTCTGAGTCTGTCTGTCCTCCGTCCATCGGGGGTGAGTGTGCCCTGGGCACGGACGTCCTTGAGGACAGGCAGGAGGAGTTCCAGTGCTTGGCCGCTACTTCACCTCATCTCGTGTCCGTACTGCTTACCCCTGAGGGAGACCCAGATGCACTTGACATCCCGACTCCGCGCTCTTACGCGGAGGCGATAGAGGGTCCCTACTCTTCTCAGTGGCAGGCAGCTATGGATGCAGAGATGGCTTCCTGGAAGTCCACAGGCACCTACGTTGACGTTGTCCCCCCTCCTGGGGCGAACATCGTCAGTGGCATGTGGATTTTCAGGGTGAAGCGGCCACCGGGTTCTCCGCCTGTCTTCAAGGCGCGTTACGTGGCTCGTGGCTTCAGTCAGCGGCAGGGAGTTGACTACTTTCAGACCTTCTCTCCCACCCCCAAGATGACCACTCTTCGGGTACTGCTGCACGTAGCTGCTCACCGTGACTACGAGCTACACTCTCTTGACTTCAGCACTGCTTTCCTGCAGGGCAGCCTGCACGAGGAGATCTGACTGCGCCTCCCACTTGGCTTCACTGGGTGGAGCCTTCGGCGGCCAGTCTACGGTCTCCGCCAGGCACCGCGTGAGTGGCACGACACACTGAGGACTACACTTGCGGCTCTTGGGTTTGCTCCCTCCACTACTGACCCGTCGCTATTTCTACGCATCGACACTTCTCTGCCGCTGTTCTACATCCTTGTGTACGTCGACGACTTGGTCTTTGCCACAGCTGACACTGCTGGACTCGCCCACGTGAAGTCCGAGCTGCAGAAGAGACACACGTGCACAGACCTGGGTGAGCTGCGCATCTACCTTGGCTTGCAGATCTCCCGGGAGAGAGCACGCCGCACCATCACCCTGACTCAGTCACACATGGTGCAGCAGGTCCTTCAGCGCTTCGGCTTCACGTACTCCTCGCCTCAGGCCACTCCTCTGTCTACTCGCCACTCGCTCTCAGCTCTGCCTTCGGATGAGTCCATAGAGTCGAGTGGCCCGTACCCAGAGCTTGTTGGCTGCCTCATGTACCTGATGACCTGCACACGACCTGACCTTGCATACCCTCTTAGCATTCTCGCACGCTATGTTGCTCCTGGGAGACACCGACCAGAGCACATGGCTGCAGCGAAGAGGGTGTTGCGCTACTTGTGCAGTACGTCGGGCATGGGGCTAGTGCTTGGAGGGCGGAGTCCAGTGGTCCTCACTGGGCACGCGGACGCTTCTTGGGCTGACGACCAGGCTACGCAGCGGTCGTCACAGGGTTACACCTTCAGCCTTGGTTCCGGCTCTGTTTCGTGGCGGGCTACTCGCTCGTCTTCTGTTCTCGGCTCCAGTTGTGAGGCTGAGATCTACGCCGGGGCTATGGCTGCTCAGGAGCTTCGCTGGCTCACCTACCTGCTGACCGACCTTGGAGAGCCGCCTCGTTCTCCTCCAGTCCTGTACGTAGACAACAAGGCCATGCTGGCCTTGTGTCGAGAGCAGCGACTGGAGCACAGAACAAAGCACATTGCTCTCCGCTACTTCCTTGCTCGTGAGCTATAGCAGCGTGGTCACTTGCGGCTTGCGTACGTGGCCTCTGAGGCCAACACTGCTGATGTCTTCACCAAGGCACTTGCGCCTTGTGATCATCAGCGCTTCTGCACGCAGTTGGGTCTTGTGCCTGTCTTGCCTCACTTGCTCACCTCTTGACC